CTGTTTAGCCCTAGGAGCACTTCCATTTACAGCAGTCCCTTTAAGATACACTGTAGGGATGGTTTATGAGAGGTAAATTCCCTCAATTTTTGCTTATCTGTAAATTGTTTAATCCCTGCTTCAAATTTAAATGATAATCTTGCCAGGTAGAGTATTCTTGGTTGGAGTTCCTTCTGTTTCATTGCATTAAATGTATCATGCCACTCCCTCTGGCCTGTAAGGTTTCTGCTGGGAAGTCTGCTGACAGCCTGATGGGCTTTCCCTTATACTTGATCTTTTTTCTGTCTCTGGCTGCTCCCAATACTCTCTCCTTGTCCTTGATCTTTGCCATTGTAATTATTATACGTCTTGGTGATGTCTTCCTGGGTTTCTTGTGTTGGGAGATCTCTGTACTTCCATGATCTGAGAGACTATTTCCTTCCTCAGATTAGGAAAGTTTTCAATAATTATTTCCTCAAAGACACTTTCTATCCCTTTTTCTCTCTTCTTCTTATGGCACCCACATAATGGAAATACTGTTCCATTTGGATCGGTCACACAGTTCTCTCAATATTCTTTCCTTCCTAGAGATCCTTTTTTCTCTCTGTTCCTCAGTCTTTGTTTTGTTGTTCTCTAATTTCATTTACTGTCTCCTCTCCCTCATCTAATCTACTTTTAAATCCCTCCATTGTATGTTTCATTTCAGAGTATTTTTCAAAGTTTATATCTCTTTCTTGAAGTCCTCCCTGACATCTTGAATATTTTTCTGTAGCTCCATGATCATGTTTATGTCTTTCATTTTGATGCTTTTATCAGAATATTGGTAATATCAAGCCCACTTTCTGGAATTTTTTCTTGAAATTTTTGTTTGGACAAAATTCCTCTGTCTCCTCTTTTTTTTTTCAGTGTTTCTTGTGAGATAATACATTTGCGTAGGAGGCATCCTCTAGTGCCCAGAACCTCTACTCTCTGGAGCTGCCTGGTACCTGCAGCAATGGCAGGAGTTGCAGGCCAGTGTAACTGGTGCCTGCTGGGAGGAAAGAACTCTTTTCTGCTTCCCAGATGCAGTGCCTGCCTCCAGTGCCAGGGCCAGTAGGCTGAGAGTGCAGGGAGGTGCCTCTGTGCTGTGCCACTCTAGCTGCCATAGGAGGGGCCACTCTCTGGCAGGCCTGGTGTGATGGCGGGGGCAACAGGTTTGTGAGCCAGTGCTGGCAGAGAGGAGTGAGTGGCAGGCTGCAAGTCACAGTGGTGGGCCTCGGCTTTACATTTCCAGCCAGGGGGATGAAGTGTCTGAAGCTCCTGAACGTTCCCAACCTTCTGGGCTGAGTTTGCTGGGGCGATTTCATCCACCTGTCCTTTCTCCTGAGCAGCAAGTTCTATGTAATCTTTACCCCTTCAGTAGCCCTCTTGCTGTTGGGAAGTCTTTCAAAATGCCTGCCTTCCTTTTGTCCTGGAGCAGCCAGTTCTCCACAAGCAGATGGAGTCCCAGTCCCTCGGAGTATTCTGCCCATCTTTCCTTTCCAACCCCAGTAATCTCCAGAGCACCTTTTAATGTGGGTTCATGAGCCCAGAGCAGATCTCCAGGGCTGGGTGTTCAGGAGTCCTGGCCTTCTACTCCCTCTGGTTCCATTTTTCTTCCTCCCACCTGTAGGCTGGGGTTGGGGGAGGGCTGGGGTCCTGCTGGTTCGTGGCTTTGCTACTTTACCCTTTTCTGTGAGGTCTTCTCTTTTCTGCAGATGTAGGCAGTCTGTTCTGCAGTCTTCAGGTCACTTTTTCAGGATTAGTTGTGTTTGCTGTATTTTCATCTTTTATGTGATTTTGGTAGGTTTCTGTCTCACTACTCACACCACCATCTTTTCCCCTCTGCTTCCTGAAGAATTTGATCATGAGTCATCAAAAGTTTTATCAGAGATTGCTGAATGTTTACAATGAAATATATGAATAAATAATTTAATATTGTATTTATTTTTATTGATTTTCTATTTGACTGTTATGGCAGGAACCACAGTCATTGAGTGATTAGAAATCTGCCTCTCCACTAAACTGAATCTTTTTGAGGATCTTTTCTTTAAAATTTTCCACCTAGAACCTTTTAGGTAATATATTTTCCCCTTATATATTCTTATATATAATATATAGTTATATAATATATATTAATATATATTAGAATAAATATTTTCATACACAGACTAGGGGAATTACATGTATATATAGTTAATGGATTTCTAGTGTTCCTTTTAATTCAACATTCCTCAATATAAAATTATAAAAGATGACATAAAAGACACTCTGAGCTTCCTGCAGTAACTATTCTGCATGAGCAATTTTATATTAACATGGCATAAACTGACACGTCACTTGGTTATGCAAGAGTCAAGAAGGCCAGGAAAGAGCATAAATCATCAAGAAAGAATTACTATTTCAACAAAAGCGTTTACTAACTAATCTCTACTTGACATTGGAAATTGATTTTAGTTTTGTACTTTATCTTCTTGAATGTTTGCACAGCAAGTCAAACATTCAAATTGAGATACATTCACTTCTTATCTAGAATTTTCCTTTAATGCTTCTAGCCAATTACTGGAAACCTTTATATAACAGTTCTTTTTTCTTAATGCTTAATATGTAATATACCTTCATCACCATGTGCTTAATCGGGAAACCCCCTTATTTGGAATGTCTCCCAAGGAATCAAATTAAACCTAATTATACTTAATGGCAATGAATGTTGCTTAATTTGGATGGTAATTCTGCTTAATTGAGATGCCTTCAGGTGTCTAAGTGGTGCTCAAGAGGAAGGGTATTGGTGTGTGCAAAGTGTGCCAACCTGGAATGCCTTGTTTCCTCTCTGAACATTTCATGAAAGCAAATGAACAAAGGCAAAGAATTTTCTGAAGCAATATAACACAGTATTCCTGAAATTTAACTTGTTAATTGTTTACAGTGTTTGGAATTAGCAAGTTTTATACACAATCTTTACAAAAATCTATGTAAACGTACACAAAGATGAAAGAGAATAATGACACTTCTAAAATGGGAGAAATATACAAATCCAAAATGCATGAATTCATTACTTTGTTATTCTGCAGTTTACCCACGTTCAAAACTCAACTTCAGAATAACAAAGAACATACCTCAGTGAGCTTTAACGCATTTTAGCTGCCAGCATCTGTTAAAGACGGTGGGACCCGAAGCACATCTTAAACAAAAAGTAAATCTGGTGACAATCAAGAGCTCTCTTTGACACTTCTCCATGTGATGGGAGACTGGTCACTACCCATAACCATCTGCCCTTCCTTCCGGCTTCCAGGTAGTTCTTTTTTCAGGCTCCCTGGGGGCTGCATCCAGGGCATTTGACTCAACTGGACTTAGAGGGAAGCCTGCCAGGCACATTCTGGAAAAGGTCTTCCATTTCTGAGACAGATGTGCCTCATTTCTTTATTGAACATAACTGCATTACAGCTGCTGTTGTGATCTGAGGGGGTGTTACCATGGCTCCCGTTAGTGTGATACAAAGAAAAGCCATTGCCTGGGCCCTCAGTGCTACTAAGCTCAAGTTAAACCTGTCAATTTGTCAATCAAATTCCCTGATGTTTTAGCTCAGAGCCACTGTATGCCTTATAGGAATACCACAGGTTTCCACTTCTTCTATACAAAAGACTTTAATACCTTAAAACTCTTCGTAAGGCACTTGTTACATGAAATGATGATTCCCTGAAAACTTCCTCCAATACCTACAGCCAAAAACATCCTACCAACACAGTGCATAACAGCGTTTCATTTCCTTGTGGTACTAATCAAGCAATAACGGAAGATCACTGTAAAAGGACATAACTCTTCTTACTTGAGGGAGGAAGCGCATGAGGGCTACCTCAGTGAAATGAAAAGCACACAAAATGTTCTTATCCTGCAGGAGGAGGTAGGCGGAGTAACCTCGGGCAAAGGGTTTACCTTCCCTGGACCTTGGGTTCTTCTCTGTCAGGCAAAGTGTTTAGACAACAGCTCTTTATCACACAGATACTTCAATTATTCTGTATGTATGAGAGCAAAAGAAAAACTCAGATATGTATCTATAGTATATAGATGTGTGTGTGTGTGTGTGTAGTATATAGTTTAGCAAAATATTCTTGATTATTCATATGTGATCTGTATCTAAATGAATTTTGAAAATACTGGGTGTCAATCAAATTCCCTGATGTTTTAGCTCAGAGCCACTGCCAGCCTGATAGGAATACCACAGGTTTCCACTTCTTCCATACAAAAGACTTCAGTATCTTAAAACACTTCATAAGGCACTGTTAGTTGCAAAGGTCACTGTACACCATGCCGGTGGAGGCCCAGCCCACCCTCTGACTGACCCCGAGGAAACTGCCATCAGCACAACTCTCCTTCCCTGTGTGGCTTCTCTTCATGTCTGTCCCAAGTTTCAGTGGCTAATGACATACTCACAATTTCCACATTTGCCCTGACCAGGTGGTCAAAAGGTACAAACTTCTGGTTACAAGATAAATGATTTTTGGGAATATAATGGATAGCATGGTGATTCTAGTGAATGGTACAGTCACTGCACTGTACACTTGAAGTCTGCTAAGGAACTACATCCTAAAAAGTTCTAACACAAGAAAAAAATTTGTATGTATGTGACATGACGTATGTTAGCTAAACTTACTGTAGTAATCTTTTCACAATATGCACACATATTAAATTATTATGACGTACATCTTAAAGTAATACAATGTTATACATCAATTATATCTCAAAAAGACTGAAAATGAATTTAAAAAAAAACCCATCAACCATGAACAGAACCCCCAAGACCAGTGGAAGGCAACCATACTGAGAATGCTCATTTTATACCTGAACCTCAGACTGGCTTTCCAATAAATGTAGATATACAGACACATAATGCAGAATGAGCTTTTCAGTTCAAAGAGTGGAATGTGAAGGTACAGGACATTCACCAGGTTTTGTAAGTGTTAAATAGCTGTCCGAGTCAACTTCAGCGATGGTGGAAGCCTTACCTTGTCTGGGTCCATGGTGGTGATGACCCACACACAGTGCGCATTGTCTTCATACTGAACTGGGTAATTAGGGGAAGTGATGATGCCACTGGGTCCACGCAGATTTGATCCGCATGTTCGAGCTAGAAATGCACAGAGATGGAATTACTTGCTACAGCATTTCATCTGTGGGTGCAGACAATATGCACACAAACATTCCAGTTAGGTATGTACCGATAATGATAAAAAGTGGTTCCTGAACTCAAGTTGGTGTGTGAATTTCACTCAGCCTTCAGAACCCCTATTTGGTATTTGCAGCGTTGAACAAGAGCTCCTGTCACTATGGTCCCCAAGGCATGCCACTCACAGAACGACCCACTGACGACAGCGCTGCAGAAAATGTCAGATTTAGTCCATGTCAAGTCCCACCTTGACGCAAACAGAGCCTGTGTGCTCACTCAGCTGCACAGGGTAGCAGCAGACAGCGTGAAAAGCACACAATTCTGACCCCATGGCTTTGTCTTGTCCACTTTAAATGAGGATGACAGAGCAGACAGCCTCCAAAGTCTCTTTCAAGCTTTGGATTCTATTCTACAATAAATGGTGGTGATATCTTTACAGCACAGTGCAAACAGGAACTTAAAATACAGTTGACAGTTTAAAGAAAGGAAACAGAAATACTGACTCTAAAACAAAAATACCATAAAACTGAAAGACAAGGCAAATCACAGAAATGGAATAAAACAATAAATATACTAAGGTTGGGATATAAAAGATTTCAGCTGACCTCTTCTTTAAGAAATGAATTGTGTTTTTCCCCCCCAAAATCAACAGGTATATTTTGGAAATCTAGTGTCAGCTGAACTCGTCTTAACATTAGTAATTTAAGCTGGGTTTAAGAAAAGAGCAAAAGAAACTATTTCCCAAGTAAGAACTAAAATAAAAGCAGCTCTGGTTCATTTTCCTAAGATAACGTATCAAAAACTGATGCGACTGTCTTTCACTGAAGCCTGAATCCTGATCGCGACCATGATCCTTTGCCTTTTTGTTGGCTGAACATCCATTCCAGGTCAGATGCTGTTCTAGGAGATTCAGCTACAAAACCAAACAGAACACCCTGACTTCCAAGGGCCAGCTTGCAAGAGAGGTGGAGACACCATTTAACTGAGCTATTCCTAAATGCCCCAGGAATGCATATTTTTCTTTCCCGATGTAAACATAATGCAGTGTAAGGAAGTCCTGGCTGACTTAATTTTGAATTCCTATTATCAAAGTGCTATTCCTAGTATATCAAACTTTGAACAAACTCATCTGAAGAACTCGTGCAGTCAGGAACTAATTTGTTACATCCCCACTGACAACTGTTACTCATCCAGTCTCATCCAGTCATTAGCCCCAGCTGTCACTCTGCTGGAACGTTCACCCAGTGTGACACTCTGTCAATGGCCTGTGACCCAGTTGTCTGCTTTGAAGCTTGCTCCCTAACTTTACCTATTAAAATTGGTTACCAGCTCCCCACGAAATTCATCTTGCTCACTGCTTGGGGAAATACAACTTTTATTGATTATATTTTTTAGTGGGATAACTGCTAGCAAATATTTATAGGAAACAAGCATATTTTCCATGTGCTCATGCACACACAGTGCTGTGTTTCACTTAGAGCCAGTTATGAAGCCACTTCCCTGAGAGATACTTTTAACCAAATGCTGTCAAACTGATTCATAAAAGATTCTTTGTTTTTTACTTAGAAATATATTTCTAGCAATATGTTTTTCTAATAACTTGATTTTTAACTTTTTTCTTTAGCCAGTCTTTTAATTAAGTTATCAGAATAATCAGCTGAAATGAGATAGGTGGGGATAAGCAGGGAGGGGATTTTTCTGCTTTACTTACTTTAAAAGGTGGGCAATTACACCAATTCCTGGTGTTTGGTAGTTTCCCTAATAAATAATGGCTGTAATTTTTGAGTAGGGGTTAAGTAACAACCTTAAACACTATGCTCTAACTCCAGTTATTTAATTCTAATCCTCCTTCTAAGGAAAGCATTGACAACTAGCTCACACATCAGTCTAAACATTCGCGCCCTCCTCACCTGCATCTTCACCGTCCCCTGACCCCCGCCATCACACCAATATGACTGCTGGGCACTGCTTCCCTGCATCAGGCTCTCCTCCTCATCACAGATAATCTTAGATTTTTTCACTGGCAGCTACTCAGAGCGTGATGATTCTGTGCCCAGTCTTAATCAAATAGCAATATAACTTGAGTTTCCACAATTTCTATGCATTATTACCCGATCCACGTGGTGGCTGTGGTACAAACTGGACATTACCTTCTCTATCACTTGCAGACAACCTATTACCTGGGGTTTCTTTCTATTCCATGGTTCTATAGCAGGAAGGGTTACAGTAAAGTGTGATTTTTGTGAGTTTTAGAGTGAAGGCACTTGGGCAAGCCACATACTTCCACTCACACCGTATACCTCACATTAGCTTCAAGCAACTGAAGTTTAGTTTCTGTCAGGTCCACTACACGACAAGTTTCCTAAAAATCCAATCTTGGGGAAGAATAAAACTAGGAAGTAACACAGAACAGCCTGAGAGATGAGAGTAGAGCCAAGACTAGGCGCTCTGTGGAAATGTACCAATAAGCGAGTATCCACAGTCCACAGAGCTCTGGGGTGGGTGATCAGCTGGGACACTTCCCCATCTGCCCTAAGGTGGTATTCACTGGGGACAGTGTGGGAAGAGCCAGCCCCCAGAGTGGTGGAAAGGACGATGGGGCGGAACTGGGCGGTGCCTGCAGACCCTCTACAGGAGAACCGTAGCTATCGATTTATCTCCATCTGTGTTGCTCTGCCAGCTGTTTCTGTGCTATAATTGATGATGACTCTACTGATGGCCTAGGGATTTAGAATGACACTACACTCTGACAGAAGGCCAGAAACCCGAAGCCTTAGCACCTCGCCTGTCTCTTCCTCTCATGGACTCTTGCTGTTCCCTCCCTCCCCACTAGGAATGGGATATAGCCTCTCAGACCAGCAGAAACAGAAATCCTAGCCAATCTCCTAAGACTAAGCGACTTCTGTGTGTCCTTGGTGATGGGGGCTTCTTTCCAAACAGCTGCTTCTGTGCTACTCAGGTATTCAATCAGGCAGCAAAGTATCTGATGGACCAATGTGACTAAGTGATTACAATGTACTAGTGTCATGCAGGCTCTTCGGGCAAGGTTTAAATATATTCCGAAATGTGTATGTGCATGTTTGCACATAGCATAGTTGAACACCACTTCCTACTCCTATTAAGGCCTTCTCCCTTATAAAGATCTTTGAAAATATAATATCTAATATGAAATAATGTATACTTAGATGCTTAATAATGCTTAATAAATCCTCTTTGGTAAAAACTGTGATCTAATGCACAGCTAATATTACTCATGTGATAGAGTTCTGATCTATAAGCTCAAACTTTATTTATATCCTCTATGTTCTTAAAATAAAATGAGAATTTGCCAAATGATTATTGGAAATAAAACACAGCAAAAGCGAAAGAAGAAAGGGAGAAGGCTGGTTTTGAATACAAATATAGGCCACTTATCTAAATAATCAACAAAAATTTATTAAGTATTTATTAGGTGTAAAACATATTTGTTTCACATAATTTATTTTATGTAATATGAAGTAATAATTTATTTTTGCAAATTCAGTTCCAGGAATCTTTACTGTCCTATAATGACTACTTAATCAAATTAACTGAAGAGAGGAATATTCTGACTAAATTAATAGGGTATCTGCACCCACATCTAAAGCTTTTTTTAAAAAAATAATTACATTAGTCTGCTCCCTGTTTGTTTTTAGGAGAAAGCATTTTTATCAACCACAGATTTTGTCTATATGCACATGGTCAACTGAAGTGGAGAAGCATGAGTGTCACCAAGGCCAAGGGCTGCTGTTCTCCAACCCACCTCGGTTTATCCCACCGGCATGACACCTGCACTCCCAGCTGTGGTCGCCATCAGGACTGAAGGGAGGGCGAGCGAGTCGTCCCGCACACAGCCCAGCGTCACACGCTGATGTGGACCTGGGCAGTGCGTTCAGCCAGCATCGGGGCACAGCGGGGGAGAACTACACTAAGGCACTTGCCTTCATCAGGCAATCAGCAAATCAACACGTGAACATCTAATGTCAGGAAGACACACCAGCTTTACAAGTGGGCAGAGCAAGGGTTTGGAGAGAACCTGGAAAGGGCTTGCCGGGGAAGACAGTGGCCATGGAGGGATTCGGGGTAAGAGGACATTTGACGGAAGGGGCAGGATGGAGAGCCCCACGTACAGAGGCGGGGGAAAGAGTTAGGCAGAAGAAAGTCAGATGCAAGGAAGTGAAGTTGGAAACTTCCTCATCATGTTCTAGCGACACAATTAGCACCAAATGAACATTAGTTTTCAGGTCATTCTGTACCAATAGGATTTAAGAGGAGTATAAAAATACAAGGCTTTATGATTTCCAATGACTTAATTAAAAACAAACACATGATTTCCCCAAAGGGCCTTCAAATAAAAAGTGTAAAACTTTGAGTCTAGAAGTAACATATTTTTCCCCAAATTTACTAAAATTAAAGTTAAATAAAAGTGTGTACAGTTGATTAAATATTTGAGATCATAGTTACCTGATAAAATAATCAGTATATAAAATATCTTAAAATGAACTCTGGATCTTTAATCTGGTAGACTGAAGAGTTATCTCTCAGGTATAAATGGTCTTTTTGCTATTTCTTAAAAGGTCGTTTCCACATGGACAGAGAATATGGGTAGAAATGATAAACTTGTAAAAAGGGCAAGTTGAAAAGGGTAATTCTTAGCTAACCTAACTTGGAATCTCAAGGTAACAGTAATATTATTCTGTGACCCTTAGTAGCTCTAATTGGCCTCCGTGTAACCACAGTTACAACTGCAAATAGTCCGTCACTTATGTGGCCTTTCCATGAAATGAGCAACTAAAAACATTAATCCCACAGATCAAAGTACATTAGCATTAAAGGAAATTCTCTACATAAACTGTCCCCCCACCCCACCCTAAAATTTATGGACTGAAATGCCAGCTGGAGCATTTTACTTAAAAAATAGAACTATATCCTCTTCTTTTTTGTAGTTTGTTTATGTTAAAAATCTACTGTCAGTTAAAGATACTTAGAGTTTTAAACAGCTCATAATATTTTACCCGGTGAAAAATCATAATAGTTGTTTTCATATCCCCAAATGAAGTAAGCATAATTTCAAACAAAATCATGTGTGTAATTACTGATCTCTGACAACCGTTCCTCTGTCTGGTGGCAGGAGGAAAAGGTGATGTTCCCCTATCCTCAAAGCTAATTAGTTAACGTAAGCGCTGGCTGAGAACACCAGTGTCCAGATGGGAAGATCACTCTGACTCACTGCAATTTATCAAACTCTTCCACTGGACATGCCTCCCGTGGAGAAGCGATGATAATTACTTAAGAGTTAGAGACCCTTTAGGAAGATGGGAGCCTTGAGAATCCGTCCTTCCTTAATTCACTGATCTGAAATCTCATAATGTGCACAAAGCTCAGGCCAGAGGCACTTTATTCTGTTTGAAAGATGGCTGAATTTAGAATATGTGGCTGAGATAATCAATATAATGGCTCATTTAAAGGCTCAGAATGATTCAGGAAAACCCAAACCATGATGTGCTCTCCTTACAGACCACTTGTAAGGGCACAGAGCACAGATGGCACGGTGAGCTTGGAAAACTGCACTTGGCGTTGGGAACCTAAGGATAGCTGAGTAAACATCCCTACGCTTGTCTGGATAGCATTTGAAATATCATTACTTTCAACTTTTTCTTTTCCTCTACATTTTAAATATCTAAAGCTATCTTTTTATAGGAGTAGTTACAAGATCTCCGCTTTTCCAGATGTTTTTTAATAGACGACTCAGTCATTAGCAGCAAGTAGACACTCTATTTAAAGGAGGCAATGATGACAGACTCAGTTCCTGAACTCTGCCAACCTGAAACCGTATGGATTTTAACTGAAGAAGGTATGCTCTGCAGGGAGATGCCAGCCTGGACACAGGCACGACCCTGAGCGCACTTTTCCCCTGCATACCCCTGAAAGCACTGCCCGCCTCCCAGCGGGGAGGGCACCAGCACTGCAGGCCGAGCTAAGTAGGCAGAGCTGTGTCCGTGGGAGGCGCTACCATGCAGGACCGCCGAGCACTGGAAATGTGGCTAGGCTGAGCTGAGCTACGCTGCAAGTATGAAATGCACACTGGATTTCCAAAACACAGTATTAAAAAAAAAAAGGAGAGGAAGAATGTAAAAAAATCTTATGATCTTTATACTGAGTACAGGTTGAAATGATGATAATTGGGGGGATACTGGCCTAAATGAAAGGTGTTATTAAAATGAACTCTACCTCGTTTCAGTTACTTTTTAAATCTGGCAATTAGATACTTTTAAATGGCATATGAGGCTTGCATTTCACATCCGGTAGAGGGCACTGGACAACCCTCTGCAGGATCAGCCTGCAGACATGCATGCTTTGGCGTCCATCTGTGTAAGTAATCAATCAGGTCATGTCGCTCGGTGGTCACCTTAGGTATAGGAGACTATTTTTCCTGACCAGAGGGAGGGATGGTCCTGCTCGCTTTGCCGAAGGAAGCTGTCTTGTGAGCGTGCCATGTGGCTAGGAGGTCAGGACAGGACAGAGAAGGAAATGGGGCTGGTGTCAGGGGCAGGTGTCTATTTAGCCATAATACTTACAGATGGGCCCTTTCCAGTCCAGAATGTGGGATATTGGTGTGCACACCATTCCACCTTTCCTTCATCTATAGCACTTAAAGTTAAAGTTCTTCACTGATGCAAAAATGTCCAGGCACATGAGAAGGCTAATGTTTGCCTAATTTATTTGCCCTCTCCACGCACAAAGCGCTGCAGATGATGCAGGGCCGCAGAACCCCTGTGACATCTATGCAAAAATGGATGCCATCTCTTGTTGTACAAGTCTGCTCCCTTGGCAGAAATCAACGTTTTTCCATAATATTTGTCCCTTTTCTTCCATGGAAATATAATTGTTTTCTGTATATTTGACTGTCCAGACTAAAAATTGTATTTCTAAGTCTCCCAACAAAATCCAGTAAGAATATCTGACTTGATCGTGGCCAATGGAACTGAACAGAAATGCATCCTGTTTTGCGGGAACATCAGGATGCCCTACGGGACGTCAGACAGCTACTATGCCTCTCCCTGCTTCCTCTAGCCCTCCTCCATCCTGATGTCTGGGATTTGGCACAACCTCGGACCCTGAGAGTTAGGGCTTGCTGAGGGGATGACAGGTGAGTCTTGAGTTGCCATCCTTGTCCTGCACAAATTCTTAATGTTTTTATGAGAGAAAAATCCACTTCCATTAAGCTTAAGCTTCTCTTGGGCTTGGATTTTTGTCACCTAATTTTTATCATCTAATTCTAAACATTGTAACTCAAATTCTATTTAGGATTTCAGAACTTTCTATTTAATTTTTTTTTGTTTTATGTTTTAGTACTCCAAATAAACTAAAATATACATTTCTTTAAAACACTGTTTTTAAGATTTTTTTTAGTGTTCCCCAATCTGTTCTAGTGAAGGCACACAGATTTGACATATATATCCTCTATAAAAACAGTTCCTTTAAAAACATTTCCAGCTACTGTGGCTTACTTTTTTCAGAAAGTTAAAAGTCAAACTGAACAAGAAGTAAAGGATTATTCCATGGAAATGAAGGTACATCTTCCTCAAGCAAAACAACTGAGCCACCAGCTAGGAGGTGAAGAGAGGCCAAAACTGAGTGTCCTTTGCTTTCAGATACAAAAGAGTGGAGCGCCTATCAGAGGGTGACGGGACTCAGGGAAAACCAGACCCAGCAGGCCACACAACAAAGATTCGTGGGAGAGCTTTCCTCTTCTGAAACATCCTCAGGCTGGGAAACTCCTCGTCCACGGTCTCTAGGAGGACACAGTCAGCTGGGGGTGGGGGGAGGGAGCAGCTGTGTGCTGGGAGATAAGCCCTGCTGAGGCTCTGATGTCGAGTCAGGTCATGAGCTGGAGCCAGGGCAAGGATTCTTGGTTGTGTGTGCCTCCTAACACATTTCAACGAATCACTTCTTTCTTACCACATCACTATAAAAACATGCATCATTACTGAGTTCTGCTCTGCCCACATGCAGTGCTTTGCACCTAGATCGCGTATACTCAGAAAACGTGCCAACTCTGATGAAAGAGCAGATCTGGGCTGTTGCCCCACTGTGGGCACCTTACCTCGGCAAACAGGCCGATGGTCGCTCCATGCAGCCAGGGTGTCCGTGACTCTCTGACAGGTTATGCTCTTGGATCCCTGGAGCACGTAATTGTCCTCACAGGAGAACTGTACACTGGCACCAACCCTAAGTAATTACAAAACAATAAATGACCCAAATTATTCAGAGGAAACTTGTTACAGAAAAAAGCAATCCACCCAGCCTACAGTCAGCTGAAATACTGCTTTGGCCCCAGCACTGCATCTGAAAGTACAAAACTAAAGATCCTTAAGCAGTAATAGAATGTTGCAGAAAAACAATGCAACAGGTGCATCTGAAAATGTGAGAGACATACATCAGGTCTGCACACACCCAGTTACTTCTTCTAAGCCTGATGTCTGGCACAGCACGGAGTTGGGTGTAGTTGTATTTTACTGTCTGACAAGCCTATGGTTACAAGAGGCAATTTTACTTGTGTTTCCATCTGACAAACCCTGAGACTGATATTTATAAAAATGGGAATGAATGGGAGCCTTTGTGGAAAGATCCATAGTTGTTGCCATTGTGCATTGATAAAGTTAATTAACAGATAAAAGATAGGGTGAAATAAACAAAAGCCTTCCTTTCCTGCTTATTGAAAAATTCTCACTGACAACATCAGAGTCAATGTTATTCAACATTACACCAGCATTCGCCACACTTCCATGTAACACACTCTCTGGGGATGGTGGTGGATGTCTATAGGAATCATCAAGTCAAAAATAATCAAACCAATTTGGAAATTTCTGAATTGAACAAAATTTAGCACTTTTCTTTTCTAAAGGGACTCTCAGCGTACTAAAATTTAGCTTGCAAAAATGCATTTTTGCCTACTTAAGAGAATATCAAGTGTGTGGAATTTTCCAAATGTATCCACCTAGGAAGTCCCTTTTCACCAAGTAGCCAAAGCAACCAGAATTCTATGGAACTAATTTTGAGGAACATTGCACTATAGGTATATAATATGTATTATTTTTGAAAGTGAAAACTATAAAGCTCAAATATATGTATAATTCTAAATTTCATTATCAGTCATAACCATTATTTAAGAGTACTGTACTTTCTTCCATAATTTCTGCTCACTGGTCTTTGTTTAACCTCTGGAGCCACACTGAATAAATGCAATAAAACCTAAGAAATCTGGCTTGAAAATAATTATTATATCCTTGTGTGCTCTATTACAGGCCCCAATCTTCTGTTCTTTCTATTTGCCTAAATATCCAGGTTTCATATTTTTTCTTCATTCTTGCCATACATTTTTATTGAACAGCTACATGCCACCCTCTATTCTAGGTCTCAAAGATGCATAAGTTAAGAAGACAAAGTCCCAGTCTCTTGGAGATGACAGTCTAGTTAATGAAGAAAAAAGAGAAGCAACGTGCAAATCAAACAAGAAAATGAAAGTCCTAAGAGCTAAGAAGAAAATAAACCACATGTTGCAACATGATCAGTAACAGGAAGGGGGAGTTAGCATTTGAGTCAGGCAGGTATTTGTTATGATCCTCTTGAACTGAGGTGCTGCCATCACATCACAGTCCAGGTGTGGGCAAACACAAAGGAACAAAGTGGGAGGGAGGCTTCCAGCTGCCAATTGCTGCATTTCCAGCACAGCAGCCGCCCACCCATTAGTTAGGACGGAGGGCGCTCCACCCCATAAAACCTCCACCTTTCCCACGCAAGCTTCCCCATCTGTCAAATCAATGTCCCTTCCTAGGGAACTGTTTTCTATTTTTAGATCAAGAACCTTAACAATATCACTGCTCTTTGTCTTCTTGATCTCCAGAAATATTATACATATTTATCATCCAAAATGAGGGAAAACAGAGTCACAGTTGTTTTCTGGAAGCCATGAAAGTGTCCAGTAATAGAACCATGGCTGACTAAATTACTTCTGCTATATCTGGAAGAATACTGTGTTGCTACCTAAAAAGTGAACATAAAAATACATAGCAATGTAAGAAAGAAAAAAGTTTGATACAAAATATTATGGACCCCAGGTAATACAGTGTATTTATATTATCTATATATCAGGAAAAACAGGCACACACTATTTTTAAAGTGGTAATATTATTACAAATAGCATTTGTTTCCATATTCCAATAGTTATATTTGTTCTGGCCTTATTATTTATAATTAAATTTTTTTTTATCTTTTAAAATCCTACTATAAAGAGTCTCTTAGTTTGGCTGCAGGTTGGAAAACAGAGCCAGCAGTGGGTAAACTTATTCCAAAGGGCTGAATGTAGTTCCTTTGTTGTGACGAATCGGCTGGAGGCTGAATAGGCTCATAAAGACCCAATTTTTCATTTATTTTATCACCTTTTGCTTTGGTTTTATCTCACATATGAATAAATTTAAAATCTATGCACACATTCAACTTCAAATATTTAATAAACCAAGTTTTCATTTATAATTTATGACTTGATTTTATGATTATGCTTGCAGTTATGTGTGTAACATGAGGAAATCTAGTTTGGTTTTCTGGAAAGTACTCTGAGAAGAAAATTCCAGAAAAAGTAGTTTCCACTGAGAAATAAGTTCAGAACATGTTAGACTAATGAATGTATAATTTTGGCAAATGTCAGTAGTTGGAAACTGTTAAGAAATGACAGGAAATTGATTTTATGTAACATCAAGATATATTGTGCATAGGTAATAAATATCCAAATAGCTAAATGTAAGTTAAACATTTAAAGCAGTGCCATTTTGTGTTTTAAATAGGGAAAAATAAATTTTTCTCTTCATCACTGCTTAGTTCTTCTGAAAAGTTTACTGCTCAACCTTTGAATTCTATGGACATTTCATTTGTTACCGCCTATTTTACCTACTATAGTATGAAGAGTGTCTAGGTGGATGAACTATTTCTAAATATGACTTTAGTTCTAGAACCATTTCTAAACATTGTTTTCCCACAGAAGGCTCTTTGTGCATTTAATATTGGTGATAAACTGTTTCTGGTTAAAATAAAGAAAACCTGAATGACTCGAAGACTAAGCTAGCATCGATATGATGTGGGTTGGTTTAGTTGTGACATCGAACCGCCTGTTAGTTAAAAGAGATGAACTACCTGATTGGCTACCCCATCTCTTCACCCAACCTACCGTGCTTGGCATCTATTCAATCTACTGAAGCCACCAATTTCCGCATTTTGAGTTTTCTTAATGGACATACAGGTTAATAAATCAATAGAATTAGATGGGAAAATAGGTAGGAAGGTAGGTAGATGACTGATAGGTAGACAAACAGATAGACATGGATAGATAATATGCCTCTTTGGTTAAAAGAAAATCCAGCTGAAATAGCATACTTAAAGATTCATAAATAAAAAAGGATTACATATCATCTTAAGGCACTTAAACATCCTACAACTTTAGCAAAAAGGAGAAACACATTATTATGCTGTTTTCACTCTTAAGCAACAGAAAACACAAACAGCTAAAAGTGTCTCTTTAGATCTAAGATCTAGCCAGGATTTGCACTCATCCTTGTAAAAGGAGTAACTATGACATGGGGAAATTCTACCTGGAATCACACTCTACCAAAGATGTAGCAGTTTTGCTTCACTGGCCTCCTTTCTTGAGAATACCAGGGCGGTGCAGCACGATGGCCCGTGAAGTATTAAAGGGTATGTGTGAGCATGTGCATGAGAATGCACACCCGTGATTTTTCTCCCATATCTTACTGGCAGTAATGCTAGAAATGATTTTTCTACCATTAATTGGAAATAATACTGGCAATGAGGCTGTCTCCTGCCCACCTTCTTCTACTGGCCTTCACTCCTCCTTACCTGCGGTCCCACCACTGCGTGGTCAACCTCCATTGTACCCAGCTCCATGCAAGTCTTAAGGGTGCACTGATGAGCTGTGTGGGGCGAGGGACACTCCATCAGGTAACCGTTGGTAAGGAGCTTAACAGGCTTAAACTGCTATGGGAAAACAACTGATCTTGCCTTTAGGAAAAGGTAAGAAAAAGTTACTGCCAGAAACTGAATTTGGGTTGGGTTTTGAAAGATCACAGAATTGACTTTTTTCACAATGAGCCTATGTGTTTTCAATGGAAAACTGACCATAGGAAGCCCTCCTGGTATGGAGTTGGTTTGTTTAGAGAACTGCAATGGCCTGGTGAGTCCAGAGCGGTCGGTGTCTGCAAAGACCATGGAAGGCGTCCACTCCCTCGTGGCCTGAGTTTCCTCCACTTAAGATGACTTGGGTGTCCCTGTCCTTCACCTCTCTCTGAGGTATAAAATTTAGTTATTTTCTGCCACATTTTATGTTTCCTTTGAGAACCAGTACCCTAGAGCACAGTAGTCCATAGGGCATGAGGCTGAGCAAAGAGGCTACACAGAGAAAGCAGGTGCTGGGAGAACAATGAGGAAACAAGTGCGGCCTGTTCACCCTGAACTCTCCCCAGCCGCTAGCATTGTTTACTGATCTTACGGTGACCCTGCAACAAGTACCTGTGCCATGAGTAAGCAGGACAGACCAGGAGACAAAGGCACAGACTCAGAGCTTTTGTAAATGTACAACAAGCCACTACATGGGAAGCCGGTAGAGTACAAACCCACGGGGCAGGATGCACCCATCCACACCCACCATGCAGGTGTGTCTTGGCGATCGTTTGCCCCTATTTCACTGAATCCCAAGACACGAGTCTCTGCTGCACTGGGAAAGGAGCTCAGTCACGTAACAGGAAGCACTCCGTTCATGGAAGAAGCAGGCCTGGCCGATGAGACTGAGCAATGCAGGGTCTGCGGCGAACATGTAGCCCCCTCAGTCAGGCTGCATGGTGCAGACACAATGCCATCATCAGGGAGATAAATGCGCAGCTGCTGTGAATATGGTAACGCTTTTATTACCCTTCTGATTTTCACACATAATGTGTCATTTCTGGGTCATTTTTTTCTTTTTATAGAGACAATTTTTAGACTCATCTCCTCAAGCTGTAAGGCAACTGAGCACCACTAAAAATGCATTAGCGGGTAGATGGATCTCTCCAGCCCAAGGATAGAAAAGAAACCAGTATTTCACAGGAGTTTTAGATTCTATCTGTAAGCAAGAGCACAACAAAGACCCCTAAGAGCTGTCGGCAGGTCAGGCACTCCGAGGGGGT